GCACATGACCACAAGGAGAAGAAAGAGACTCTCCCCATCATAACCCTCCCCGACAGCCACAAGGACACACAGGCGCACGCAGGTCCCCTGCGCCCTCAAGGCTTCAATGCGGGGCATCAAACGGAAGGAGCAATTGCTCTGTCAGGAAAATTCATCATGTTTCCACCTGAATTCTTTACTACCATCGCTTGCTTTGGGTTTTCCTGAGATACAATAAGCCGTTTGAAGATATGTTCGCAGCCTTACACACACACACACACACACACACACACACACACACAGTTTACTTGGCCTCTGTTTCACTGATGCCAGTCCTTGCAAACTGTTCTGCTTAGTTTTTATGCCTCCATTTTATGCTGTTTTGGTTTCCTTCTCAAAGCAGTAGCACACTGTAGTGCAGCAACCCGAACCATGTTTTAGAAAAGGCACCTAGATCCACTCGAGCACAGTTAGGGCATAAGAAACAGGCTCTCTCTCCAAGTCTGGTAGGAGGACTTCCAGTGTGCTGTTAGCTCTGCAATCTATTTAAGGACCAGCCACGAATGGGAAAACATTTTAGACGATTTGAAGTAAAATCCAAGTCAGGCTGATTTCCCAGCCACCATTTTCTGATTAGGTTAAAGGGGAAAGGCCTGAGTTCATCATACATTACAATTCCTCCCACTGACAGGAAGGTATTCTTCTTCACCAATTTTCAATGAAAAGCAGACACACAAACTACGGGACAACTAGGAAATGGCGACGCTGGTTTGATGCCATCTGTCCAGAAGCACATCAAGGGCCCTTTAGGGATGCTGGAGACTTCGTGTACAAACATGGAACAGACTGTTAAAATATTTAATGGGGACCTGACGTGAGCCCCTGGCAGAGGAGGGCTGGGTTCCAGAGTCAAACAGCGTAAAACTGCCTTTCATCACAGCTTTAAATCCATTTGGCCGATAGCACTATGATTTCCATTTTAAAGATGATGAAACTGAGGCCAGGTGAGGTTCAGAAAAGCAGCTGAAATCACATGATTTTTTTCCCTACTAAATAGAGAAACTGAAACTCATTCCCTGAACCTTCAATCTCCTAAGCCTTGCAGTTTAAACACGATCCCTACAGCAGACCAAACATTATTAGGTGTGGTTCCCTACACTGTGTTGTATAACTCCCTATAGGGTCACTTTGAATATGGCATCAGCTTAACTCGACGTTGCCAAATGTGATTACTTTATATTTTAACTACAGATATGTTTTCGGCTCAATGAACTTAAACACGTACTTCATTGAGATCTAGTATAAAGCATCCAGTTATTAAGACATGTAATAAAAGAAATGCTGCTTTTTCCTATTTTATGGGAACCACCCATAAAAAGAAATCTTTATTATTTTTGTTTCTATGTATGTATTTACTGAATACCTGGCAGGTTTGCATTTTACAAACATTGCCTTTCTCTTTACAATAAACCCATACCTCCCCCTCATTTTATAAAAAGGAAACAGAGAAACACCTGAAATTACTACTCAGGACCATTTCTCTCCAAAGACCACACTTTTTTTCCTACTACACATGTAGTCTCTGTATCTACAGGTCAAAATAATTCCACGACACCAATATTACCTGTAACGGTCTTATGACCATTCATTGACACATAGATTCCATTTCAGAGCAGCAGCAAAACCTCTTGGAAACCCTCTGATCCAACGCCCTCATTTTGCTGCAGAAACGTCAGAGGCCCAGGCAGGAAACAGGACGTGTCCAAAGTGACAGCAGGCAAGTGACGAAGCCGGGGCCAGGACTCCGCTCTCCACTCCTTCTCCGCCCTGGGCCTCCCTTCCTGCCAAGGAGGGAATGGACACGAGGGGCCCCAATTCTATGTCCCGACCACACAGCACAACGGGAGAGCAGTACGTATTTATAAACCTCACATCACGTACAGAAGAATCGCTGTGCAGCCCAATCCCGCAGGGGCCCCTTCCCACCAGAGTCTGTGCCGCAGGGACACCTGAGGGTGGGTGAAGCCCCAGAACACGGCCCGAGTTACTGGTTCCACCACCCCACGGGGCTGGGGCAAAGCACTGACCCCCTTGGGTCTTAAACCTGAGCTGCAAATGTAGAGGTGAGGCATTCCATCTCTCAAGCCTCAGTTTTACTAACTATAAAATGAGGATGGTAACATCAAAGATCCTTGTAAAAGATTAATAACTCATACACCTTGTTATGTGTGCTTGCATGTGAGTGACAAACAGAAAAATGACTTCCACATGGACTCTGAATAAATGAGAGCTATTTTTCTCACTCTTTTACATTTGCATTTCCCCTTTTCGTATATCATTTTTTAAAAAATCTACCTCATTGCTGTCAACTTTACTTCACTTCTGTAAACGAAAAATCTCCCATTAACCATAACTCACGAGAAGGAAACAGAAGCCCATTAAACAAGCAAACAATTGTGTTGTGCCCAGAGCTTCATCAAATGCTACTCGTCCAACACAGTCTACGATGTTCAAGCCATTGTTCAGGCAGAGTAACTATTCCCACACAGGCCTTCAACACCACGCCTTTGAAACCCTGTCCCAGCCCTTTCCTCACAGTATAAAAGAACAATACGATGTTCAGACTGCTCTGACCAGACCCCGGGGAGAGTTCTTTAACGCCGTTATTCAGATTTTTATAACCAAAGAGAATAACACAGTATTTATCAGTATTTACATTTTTTCTTTTGTTTCACTAAATTATATTATCCTACAAGCTAAGTTCAGTTTGCATAACTGATTCACTAATTTCATTTAAATCCCCAGGTACAGAGAAATGTTTCATTTTCCATTTTCTATGAAATTCAATGTCATTTCTGAAAACAATCTCTTCCCCAATGAAAATAGGCAGTATTAAGAAGAAATGTTAAAGCATTACTTTTTCTTTAAATAATAAATTACAAGTCAAAAGCGAAGCGGAGAGGGAAACCTAGAGAATGAAAGGGACCAAGGAGGCATCAACCAAGTGCAGGGCGCAGACCTTATGTGGAGCCCGATTCAAGCCAATGGTTAAAGAAATTTCCCAGTGAGGTGATTAACAACATGTAAACACTGACGAGAACATTGATGATATTCAGGAAATTCAGGTTACTTTTCAGGTGTAATAATGGGGTAATTTTTTTCCAAAGGTCTTTTAGAGAAAACTAGTGAAATGTTTACAGATGAAATAATCTGAGGCCTAGGATCTTCTTCAGAACAATTTGGGGTGGGAGTGGGGCTGGCAGTGGGCAGGGGGAGAGATGCAGCAAGACTGGCCACGAGCCGATCCTGGCTGAAGCTGGGGGTGGGTAACTGAGAGTTCATTAAACTGTGCTCTCTATTTTTACAAATTTTTGTAATTGTGCATTAAAAAAAGAAGGTAAAAGTGAATGAAACTTCACAAAGTGAAACAGTCCCCTCCCCCAAAAAGGCATTCTGTGAGCATCGTTACCACATCAGAATTCAAACAGTAGCATACGTGTGTACATGTTCATCCAGAAGACCAGCTGAAAAGCATTAAACAACATTAAAAGATCTTTTAACAAACCTTGTAGTTTAAACCAACGCTATCATCATTTGAAATTCGAGTATATGCAACTCAAAAGTCATGACTCACCTTTTTCAAAGCACAAGCCTTTATTACTTTTTCATATCGTTCTTTTTCATATTTCTTCCCAAATAGAATATTACTCCTCAGAGTTCCTGAAAACACCCAGGGCTGCTGAGAGACATACGCGATCCTCCCGTGCACACTGACCAGCCCCTGGCTCGGGGGCAGCTCCCCCAGCACAGCACTCAACAGTGACGACTGAAACAGATGCCAACACACACACGTGAACAGGCAGCACTCAGGACGGACACGCCAGCAGAACAACCTGTCCCCACCCTGGGCGCTTGGTAAACGATAGAACCCTTTCCTTTAAAAGAGGATAAAGTACAGCTGTGGCAGTTGAGACAAAAAAATTGAAAATAACACTACTGGTCAATGTACACTAATGATTGATAAGGAATATTAATATAATACTATGACAATCTAAACTGCCCAAGAGTTTCCCGCAACGGAAATGCTCTGCTCAGCAAAGACTAAGTTAGAATGTTTAACATCCTTAACTAGCAGAGCAGCCCAGCAGGACGTGTAGTTTCATGTATCTGATGTTTAATGCAGTTGTTCCTGCATCCGGGTATCCTTTACTTGACAAACACTTGTTCTTAAATAAAGCTTTCTATGAATAATATATCGAAAGATGATTATTTTCGAAAATACTCCGAAGTGAGTCTTGTCCAAAGAGCAAAACTCCATCATAAATTAAATCATCACCCCCTCGTGTACATATCCCACGTTTAGGTTCCTGTATTTTGTTGTTTCAGACCAAGTGCACGTGCACATGTCCTTCAAATCTTTAACAACACACAGAGGTGGTGCGTCTGTGTCCACAGCATCACAGCGCTCACCACGCTGGGCTGAAATAGTCTGCCTGCGTATCTGTCTCGCCCCAGAACCTGGCTGCCTCTGGAGGGCAGAGGCGTCCGGGGCTTGCTCACGTCTGTATCTTTAGCGCCAGCACATGGCCGCACACTCACTACACGTGCACTGACGGGACCACGTCAAGTCACGTGAGGAAATGCTCAGAGCTTCCCGGAAGAGCCATTACCACCTCCAGGCCTCCTGGAGGGCCCACTGTGACAGAAAGAAGTCCCCACTGTCTCATTCTGTCCTGAACAGCTGTCACATAAACCATTTCCTTCACTGAGACGTCCAAAGTCCCGACAAGCAGTTCCCAACTGTGTAACAGGAAGCACCAGGAAGGAAAACACAATGGGCATTTATGCACGTTTATTTGGACATGCAACCTTCTTGCAAAACTAATGTTCCATGCAACAGAGAAATGCTGTTTGAGATACACCCAATTCAAACTGTGTTACCTACAGCTCTGGGCTCGACTCTGAGAATTTCACAGGGGCTGCGGCATTGCATCAAGCTGCCGAAAGGCATCGTAACTTACCTTTCCTGCTCCCACGGGTCCGACCACAGCTAACAGCTCACCGGGTCTGACAGTAAAGGAAAGGCCTTGTAGAGTTGGGGTTTCTGATGCCTGCAAATTTAAGTTTACAAAACGGTTCATGTCAATAAAATAAAAAAGCAAACTTCAGAAAGTAGAGAAAATAACGTAAGTCATTGATATGCTAATATAACCCACATTTTCGACCTTCCTATTTTAAGGTAGTGAGTCCTGGGGGCCTTTTCATCAAAAAACACGTTTGAAACACCTCTAGTTGCCTTTCATACGGACACAGCTCTAGACACCCACAGAATTTAAGTAGTTGAAATGACAAGGCCCGTCCTCGAAATGCAAACTCCATGATGCACACTAGCTTAGTAATATAATATAATTAATAGAATATCCAGTATGGGAGGTTTTTAATCATTTGTAAGTTTTCATTAGAGCCATTGGTGTTGTTTACTTCACTCCTCTCCACAGGGTGGCAGTGTAAGTACATATCATGCCTGGTCCTCTACTAAGAATTTGACATCTCCACTCATCTCTTTATTTTCACTTGATAAAGAATGAATCTCAGTAATGGTTAGCAAGCAACGGGGCACTTTATATGATAAAGTTGCTCTTGATAAATAAAGTCACATAAATGGCAGTCAAGGCTCCAATTTCACCAGAGATTCAATTTAACACTAACAACCAAAAAAAAAAAGGTGGGGGGGGTGGCGGGGGGGTTACGTATAACACAGTAGGTTAGAGTGATCAAGCCTCAATTTTGTACCTCTTACATGCATTACCTATTCTGGGTAAATAGGGACAACAAAGTACTTCTACCGTAAAAAAAACAAAAACAAACCATGGAGGTACATGTCACAGCAAACAATCTAACACAAAGGAGAAGGATAAAGTACTCATCGTGCCAATCACAGGTCATGTTCTTGAACAAACTGTAAATTCTATCATAAAGAGACTTAGGGGTATGTGTATTTCTTTACATATAATAAGTGTTTAAAAAAAAATCTTAACTGCTAATGTTAAAAAAAAAAGTGGTTACGTGTGATTAAGTAAAATGCCCAAAAGACTAATAAAAGCACAGGGTCTGGATAAGAAGTCTGGATAATGTTCTAAATGGAAAATTTCTCTGGAAAGAACTGAACTGATTATAGATACAGGCAGCTACTGAAAAAATAATTATTTTTAATCATCAAAATAACTAGCCCCATATTTTAACACGAGACATTTTCTTAAAGCTACTCCACTCCTTTCTTTTTGATTAACACTTGGATTCTTATTTTGCTACTTTTCACTCAGTTGTGACTGCACGATAATGAGCCACCTACAAACACAGCTTCCTGCTGCAGCCCTTCAGTTTGTCAGGGCAAAAAACATGGACTTCCCTCCCTGTTCAGGCTTGAGGCTCTTCATCACCAAAACACTAGCCCCAGATGTTACAGGAATTACAAATCTATCAATAAGAAGCTAGACTTTAATACATGAGAAACATTTAAGCTTCTCCACTTCTTCTCTGACACTTAGAGTTCTTATTTTACCACTTTTGACTCAGTTAAGACGACAAAATAGTGGGCCACTTACAAACATCAGCTCCCTGTCACCACACCTCACACTGTGTCAGGACCAGACACCGAGTTCCCTCCCTGTTCAGGCTTCAGGATCGGGCACTGCTCTGCGGTGACCAGAAGCGGGCAGCACTCGACAGCCCACGGTACTGAGGCCTGTCCTCTCCTGGTTATCCAGGCTCAGGGCATGCGGATTACACAGGATCATCAGATGAGCCCCACTCAGCTGCCAGACACAGTTTGAAATCCCTGTCCCTTGGAGGCTCCCACAGGACCATTTACTTTAAACCTTAAAGACTGAGACCAAGTCCCATCATTTCATGAATGAGACCTGGGTCCCTGAAACCTTCTGCCACCTGCCCAAGGGGCCGTATAGCGGAGCAGCTTAGGAAGCCCATGTCTATCTCCAGCCTCCCAACCCAGCAGGGGATTCATTCAGACTCTGCTTCTCTCCAAAAATCCCCAAGGTCTGTGCCCCTCCCCACCCGCCGAGGGATGTTTCACCCATGACCTAACCTGAGAGGCCCTAATTACTAATGACCCAGCACAGGGCACAGCCTTCCATAGGCAAGGCCAGGACAACAGAATAGGGTGTTCTGTACTACACTGCAAGTTACACAGAAGTCTGAGAGCACATTATCACGTTCTTGCAAGAAGAACAAAACAGCTCATTTTATAATGCTGCATAGTTTGGTGTAAGAGATTTTGTTAATGTTTCATACAAAGTATGTGTTACCATTCACAAAGAGTTGCCATCGTAATGGAATTTTAATGGTGCTTTTCATAAATGCTTCGAGTGTATTATGATGAGAAATACCAAGCAGGAGGTAAATCTACACTATTAAGGTAGGAGAAACTATCAGGTCAGATAAGGTACCTTGTTAGAGTTTCCATGTGCGAAAGCTAAGGGGGTATATTTTTATTTATTTGGGAACATACTACTGTTTTCTTGGTGGGGAAGCAGGTACTGAATCAGAAGTAGGTGAACAGGATGCAAGTGGCACCACACTTAGTGTGACAGGCATGAATACACACGAGGAGTCTGCATAGTCCGGACACTTGCACTGTGGTCTCCACTCCCACCAGCAGTCGAGCTTCTGGGCTCTGCACCGGATGGTGGACCCTCTGGTAGAGGCACCACCTCGTTTGAGTCCTTCCAGCCCTGGGGGTGGGAGCGGCTTCCCACCACTGCTAATCACTGCTGATCTCATTTTGCCCTTTCTGCTTTTTTCTTCCCCCATCTTTCATCCTCTGCATAAGTAATTCCCCACATGGAATGCCCCCTCCTGTGGTATGGGTTCCGTTTTACTGAGTGATCCACAGAGGACCACTGAACGGGGGAGGCAGGAATGTTTCAGTCGTCAGAAAAGGGGGCTGCACTAGGTGTGCAGTTTTGAGAGCGGACCCTGCTCTTCTTCCTGTTTGCCTGAACGTCATAAATAAACCAAGTGTTCGCAACTGCCAGTTCTCCCTGTCAGCTTGCCACACAGTGCAAGCCTTCAACTGGGAATCACTGGTGCTCACTATGCCCTCCTGCTGTCGCCTCCCCGTCCCTGGTTGCCACCAAAGTAGCCAGAACCATCGAGAAGCTTAGGATGGGGGAGCCCCACCCTGCCCCAAAGCAAAGACCAAAATCATGGCCTCAGTATGTCATAAGATGATCTGAGAACATCAAGGCAAAAAAGTACACTGATTCCCCAAAGCCTCTGGTCTGTAACAACTGGTTGTATATTTCTTAGTTAACCCATTCCATACTGCAGCTTTTTTTCTCCACAATCAATATAAATTCTAACATTACAAACATATGGACTTTAAGGTCAAAATGTGCTAATACTTTGAAAGCTCTCTTGAAAACGAGAGAGAGCAACATGTCAAATGTCTTAGGCTGATTTTACACTTAATCTCCAGTAGTTGCAAACCTATTCCTGATTTTGAGAATTTTTATAACATACTTTCAAGTAAATTAGCAGGTCACATTTTGCACCAGGTGTAAAACCTCAAAGTTCTCCAATAAATCTGTTGTCTTTTAGCAGTCACAATCTTGGTACACAGGATGTGTTACCTTATCCCAAGAAGCAGTGAAATCTTGCACGTCCACTATCATTTTACCATCTGATGGCAGCTGAGGGTTGCACTGTGTTATCTCATCAAGTAACAGAAAGTTCTACAGAAAAAGGAAAAACAGATTGTTTAACCTCCAGGAGAAAAGCATAAACAACAATAACTGCTTTCTTGGAATTTGCAGTAAAAAACTTTATACATTTTGCCAACTGTACTTAAAGTGTAGGTTCACATCAGAACAGACTAGGTAATATGCGGAATATTATATACTATTATAACGATATACAATAAAGTCTACAGATAGTGTATGGTATAGTATGATATATATTACATATATGACAAATAAAGAGTTCCTGGCCCTGAGGCTGTCTTTGTAACTTTCTTAACAAGTGTACTGGTTCCACCCTAAGGAGAAACTGTGGCAGCAAACTCCAACACATTTAAAAGCTTGATATTTCCATCGTTCTACTTTTGTGTTACTAACAATAAACAAAAGAGTTGGTAGGGAATTATTCCGTAAACATTTACTGAATCCCACCATGTGCCAAGCACCATGCAACATTGCTAGGAACACAGAGAGGAAGGCCATTCCCAGGCCTGCAGGTATCAGGTGGCACTGGACAGGCTGGGAACACAAGACCTAGGAAAACCCTGGCTCTGCCTGTTTTGGGTCGTGACCTTTCCCTGGGCACTTAAGTACACTCTGCTTTACTCCTCACGCACGTTAAATCAATCACTGCTTGTCATTAACTATCACTCAAGTCACTGTTCTAAGAATGAAACGCTCTTATTAAGTTTCTGTCTCTTAAAAAATAGTTTACAAGCATCTATTCACAATCACTTGTCTCTTCTCCTTAGTCAACGCCCTCTCTCCCCGACAGCAGGAATGGCCACATCCTCCACTGCTTGCTATTTTCACACCCCTTAGCAGCTATTCAATGCAGTTCAGTTGAATAAAACCAAGTCCTGCGAACCACTACTGAACTAACATAATCATATATAGGAAAACTCCCTCTTGCCCTGCAAATGCTGGACATAATTCAACAAGAAACAAACCCCAGATTTTAGCTGGCACCTGGCAGCCTGGAAGGAGGCCCTCTCTCTCCAGCCTCCCGAGCAGATAGGTGTAGCCATGTGACTACATCCAGGCCGGTGGAAAGTGACAATGTCCAGGACCTTCATCCACCCCACGGCCTGGGCCTTGGAGGTTACCAGCTGGGTCAAGGCCACATGCAGAGGAGTAACAAGAGAGAAGTCTGGGTCCCTAACACCCTGGAGGATCATACTAGCCATGGAACTTGTTACAGGGAGAATTGCTCACCCCGATGAAAAAAAAAAAAAAAAATGTTAAGGTCCTAACCGCAAATACCTCAAAACGTGACTTTATTTGGAAATAGTGTTGTTGCAGATGTAATAAATTCAGGTGAGATCACACTGGACTAGGGTGGGCCCTCAATGAAATATGATTGGTGTCCTTATCAGAAGAGAGACGCAGAGACACAAACAAGCAGAAAACAGCCATGTGACGATGGACACGGAGGCTGGAGTGACGGCTGTTAGGAGACAAGGTACACCAAGGTTTGTCTCCAGCCACCAATAGCTAGAAGAGACAAGAAAGGATCCCCCTTATAGAATTCAGAGGAATCGTGACCCTGCTGACACCTTGAAACTGAACATGAGGACTTACCTGGTGCTGCGGTGGTTAAGAATCCGCCTGCCAACGCAAGGGACGCGAGTTCGAGCCCCGGTCTGGGAAGATCCCACATGCCGCGGAGCAACTAAGCCCATGCGCCACAACTGCTGAGCCTGCGCTTAAGAGCCCATGTGCCACAACTACTGAAGCCCCTGAGCCTAGAGCCCATGCTCCGCAACATAAGACGCCACCGCAGTGAGAAGCCCGCGCACCACAACTAGAGAAAGCCCAGGGGCAGCAACAAGACCCAACGCAGCCAAAAATAAATAAATATATAAATAAATTTATTTAAAAAACAAACAAACAAAAAAAACCTGCTTCTGTGCAGGAAAAGGAAGACGAGATCCTTGCATTTCTCTCAAAGACCAGCCGGCGGGAGATGCGATCCTCTCGTTCCCACCTCCTCTCATCCAGGCTCACTGAGAACCTGAACACTGGGCACGGCCGCTCCTACCCGCCCCGAGCCCGTGTCCAGCAGGAGGCAGGATGGACAGTGGTCTGAGGACTCCTCTGCAGGTTTTCAACCACTGCAGCCTGAGTTCTCTCTCCACACCACCTCTCCCATCGTCAGCCAGGTACCAGCTCTCGCCTGTTCTGCCGCAGTTCATCCCTCTCCCAATTCTCCTTTCCTCTTGAAACAACGTAATTTCAGAATCTCACTTGCTATTAACCATTTCAAATACTGATATGCCTTTTCTTTTGCTGATTCCTTCCCCAGCCCTCCCCAGCACCACCGACCCTCCCCCAACACCACTCCCTCCTGATCTCTTTACAACACCTCTGAGAGTGTCCAGCACGCTTCAACCCCTCCAGTGAGCCATCAGCACCTATGTCCATATCCCCAAGTGGCCTCTGCCTGGACACCCTGAGTACTAACTAATGCCACCCATCCTTCTGGGTCATCTCAAATGCTAATCCTCCTGGGAACCAGCTCAGGAGGATCCAGGCTGGCACTGACCTCCCTACCTCTGAATCCTCATAGGGATATAAAGTCATAAAGAGGGGAGACACTGGGTGATTCCTGCACTTACACAGTCCCAACTCCATCTGAGACCAAGCCTTGCACAGAGTTGGCCCATCATGGGTATCAGGCTAAGGGAAGGAACAGACTACATGGCTGTTCAAATCAGTCCAACCGGTGACTGCGTGGCTACAGCCTTACATAGTCTGAGCTAACAGAGCAACGAGCAAAAGGTTATACGTGTATGTTATACATCTTGTCTAAACAGAAATTCCAATTTTACCTTAAGCGTGTTACCAAGATAAAAAACCTCAATATTCAGGGCTTCCCTGGTGGCGCAGTGGTTGAGAGTCCGCCTGCCGATGCAGGGGACACGGGTTCTTGCCCCGTTCCGGGAAGATCCCACATGCCGCGGAGCGGCTGGGCCCGTGAGCCATGGCCGCTGAGCCTGCGCGTCCGGAGCCTGTGCTCCGCAGCGGGAGAGGCCATAACAGTGAGAGGCCCGCGTACCGCAAAAAAGTAAAAAATAAAAACCTCAATATTCAGTGTATGTATGCTAGAACAGAAATTCCCCACTTTCAAAAAAAAAAGAAAAAGTATGCCTTAAATGAGGAATTAGATCTATTGAGCACTTGTCTACAAATAATACGTCTGCTAAGGCAAAGAAGTTACAATCTTCCAGGGGTTAAATGAGACTCCATTCAACACATGACCAGCTTGTAAAGTTGCAAGAAGTGCTGATTGCATTTTTCCCCAAGACTCAGGCTGATGGAAAAGGTGAAATTAAACTGCCATTAGAGCCATGAAGTGCAGACCCAGAACACATCATGAGGGCAAGTATCAACGTCAGAACTGCAGCCAAAAAGACTGACTTCCCAGGGGCTGGTAGGGGAAAACCTAAGCAGCTTTGTGAACAATATAACCTCAGAGACACATTTTACTGGATGTAAAAGTCACTGAAGACTTTTAGTGCGTTTAAGTTAAGACAAGATATTTTTAATCCTATTGCAGTAGCTCAATGCCAAGACCTTCAGTCCCCTTTCATTACCAAGAGAAAAATAAGGGGACCATCGCACCACCTCCAAGGTAGCCAGGGGTGGTGGATATTCTTCCTAGGACCCCCCAAACATGACCTGAGTGGAAACCTTGGAAGACGGCCCATCCAGTCTACTGAGTCCCAGGCTGCAGAAGGCAGTGGGGCAGCAGGGCTTAAACCACGCTCTGTTCTAAACTCTACGTGCCCACCACGCCTCCAGCCCGTCTATGGTCAAACCTCACCTAGTTTTCTTCCATTCTTGCTGCCGTCCTCATCTTCTAATTAGGCATTAACACATCTAACTGAGAAGCAGGGAAAGGAAGAACACAAATTCTTGCTCTTCTCCTCCCCTTAGTATTCCAGGTGACTTTGCAGCCCCAAAACTGAAAGGAGCCCACAATCCATCTCTCCCGTTAAGGGGCTTAGAATACCCCTGGGGAGTCACAACACGACCACCCCACTTGACATGACGCTGGGCCGTGCAGGGCTGGCCCTGCACACAAATGGAAGCCCTAGATCAGTGCGAATGAAAGTGCTGGGAGAGGGGCATGGGGCTGCTGGAGGCTCAGCAGCATTTGCTTAAATCAAGGACTGATGAGAAGGCAACCCAGGGGGCCCAAAAAGTGAGGCAAAACCAGGGATGAAGGTGACAGGTCACACAGACAGCCCGTCTTCCCCCCTCCCCCAGCAGAGTGGAGGGTCGTGCGCTGTGAAACACAGCTGCCAATGGAGCGTAGCGTTTAAAATTTTGATTCTGCAAGTAACATGGAAACTTTGAAGGTCTTCGCACTAAGACCAGATGATGAAAACAACACGTAAATAGAAATTCCACATGCTAGAAGGTACTAAGAAGGCAATGTAACAAGGGTTTAAAAACCCAGGCTTGGGCTTCCCTGGTGGCGCAGTGGTTGGGAGTCCGCCTAAAAATGCAGGGGACACGGGTTCGTGCCCCGGTCCGGGAAGATCCCACATGCCGCGGAGCGGCTGGGCCCGTGAGCCATGGCCGCCGAGCCTGCGCGTCTGGAGCCTGTGCTCCGCAGCGGGAGAGGCCACAGCAGTGAGAGGCCCGCATACCGCAAAAACAACAACAACAACAAAAAAAAGGCTTTGGGCAGGATCCTAGTTGTCATTTCCTAGCTATGTAAGGATAGCTGAGCTATTTCACCTGTTATAGGAACCTGTTTCCTTATCTGTAAAGTGGGGACACTAATGCTTATCCCATTCAATTGCTCTCAGGATTAAATGAGATGACATGCAAAGGCTTCAGGAGCGCCCGGCAGCTGCGGCAGCAGCAACAACAAAACCACAGCAGCACAACAGACGTGTGAAGCCTCCATCTGGACAGCTTACTGTGTCACTAAGAACGTCACTACAGTTCCAGGATATCCCTAAATGTCCTCTTTCAAGATGTGAAAGCTTCATAAAAGAAATTTTATTGAACTGCATGGACCATCCCTTAACAGTGTTGCCAGAAGCCCCCATCAAAAAGAATGATTAGGGCTTCCCTGGTGGCGCAGAGGTTAAGAATCCGCCTGCCAATGCAGGGGACACAGGTTTGAGCCCTGGTCCTGGAAGATCCCACGTGCCGCGGAGCAACTAAGCCCATGCGCCACAACTACTGAAGCCCGCGCACCTAGAGCCCGTGCTCCGCAACAAGAGAAGCCACTGCAATGAGCAGCCCGCGCACCGCAACGAAGAGCAGCCCCTGCTAGCCAAAACTAGAGAAAGCCCATGCGCAGCAACCAAGACCCAATGCAGCCCAAAATGAATAAATAAATACATAAAATTAAAGAAAAAGAAAAGAAAGAAAGAATGATAAATTCAGGGGAGCAGAACTGACCCCGTATAACTGATCTGTTTTATGGGCAATAGCTTTTTATATTATAGAAACTTCATCATAACCTTTTATGGCGACTGAATGATCAAATAAAAATCACAGCCAAAGCTATCTAACTTCACAAGAGATCCATTACTGGCCATCCATCACTATACAGAAGTAGGAACAAAACAAATTAGATGTGTTGTAAAGCCCAGACACTCAAGCTCACACCCAGGCCGGCTCACAAAGCCAATTTATCTTCATTTTACACCAATTAATAAACACACAACTCCTTAAGTATCTACAGGTTCTTATCTTGGTGATGTAAATTATTCACCCCTGGCAGTTTACAGACAGATTAAAAAGAGAGAGAGAGAGAGGCTGTGGGTATGGTAGGAATCACAAGTTTGAAGGGAAGAGGGCAGCTAGAGATAGGATTACACGTAAGTGAAAAGAGAACAGGGACAAAAAGGCAGATCGAAAAAGCATACTCAGAAATCAACAAGCAAACCATCTACGGAGGAAAGAACCCATTTTTAAACACAGAGAATGAAGTGAGACTGAAGCCATGCTTCCTACCCAAGGAACAGAGACCTCTCAGCATGTTCATTCCCTCCCGGCCCAGAGAGGAATCCTATTCACCCCAGGACTGAACACAGATGTCACCTAGTCAGTGGAGTTAGCATAGGAGATGAGATCTGTTTGCTTCTCCTACTTTCAGACAACTTAATCGTCTTGCAGTCATTACTCGACAAGAGCCCTGTACCGCTGGTACTTATACTACTGCCCATAGATGAGCAGGCTCTTAAGATATTTATAACGCACCCTGTCAGAAGACGGGAGTACTAAAGACTTTCTGGAACAACCACCAGCTTAGGCAGTGAGAGTTAGGTCTCACCTAACCGGCACACAGTGACACCAAATAAAAGGAGGCATTTCAGGTAAAATCCACCTACAAGTTAATAAAGTTACTTGTCAGCAAACCTTGATTCTTCGGATGCTGACGACTGCTTCTGACACCTTCTCGACGGCCGAAGGGAAGAAGAGGGTGACTGTCAACCGCACAGCCCCATACAGTGTCACCGCCACAAACACACGGCTCGCTGTGATCACATTGCCAAGCGTCACATATGTGGTGAAGGTGACAAAAACAATGATTTTGCTTGCAACAAAAAACGATGCCAAATTCATCCCTCTAAGGTAGGAACTTCTCAGAATCTTGGAAATTTCCTTCCTGGAAAAGAGTAGGAAATAGATTTTAAAAGAAGCATCAACATCCAAGACATGAATTCAAGTGTCCTGTGTGAGTGGCCTCTACCTACGGAGTAGACACAGATGAAGATAAACCATCCCTCACATCATGGAGATACTACACAGTGTACACCCGGGGGCCCGCCCGACACAAAGACCACACACTCCATCACCACTTCACTCTTCCAACTAAACAGAGGCTTAGTGTCACATTTTAAACATTTTGGGTCAATCAGACTGGGTTTGAACATTCAGTCAACATCCATTCATTACCAGAAGCCCTGTGCCGGGCTCCTCACTGATGACAGAAAGACACAGCCCATCCCCCTCCAGGAGTTGACAAACTCATAAAAGAATAGAGAAAACAACCCCAAAATTGTGAGACACCAAGGCATTAGACAGAGGCGCCAGCACGGCCCCCACGGGAGCGCAGAGCAGAGGCGTGTAACTCGGAGTAGTAGAGTCCGGGCAAGTCACACGCATGTGGACCCTGAGGAGATGAGCTGGAGTCAGTCGGGCTTGGCAGAGGCCAGAGAAAAAGTAAGATGAGTGTATTCCCAGCAGAGGGAGGGGCACCCACAAAGGTGCAAAGTGAGAGGTGACACGGTGCTGCCCGAGAATTCTAAGTACCCTGTGCTGGAGTATAAGCACTCATCAGATATTTAAGTCAAAGATGGAAAAAAACTCTACAAACAAAGCAAAGCAAAAAATATATTTATGGCTTTGTTTGGAATGAATAATACTGACTCATAAAGTTTGGCCCAATGTAAGTACCCAACCTTTATAATCTCCCCATTTGTGCTACATTAACATAAATTATACTTTTAGTTTAAATATCGTTTTAGACGTCAACATCTTAAATCACTGTTTATTTGGAATCTGTGCTATTAAGAAATACTTGGGGGCTTCCCTGGTGGCGCAGTGGTTAAGAATCCGCCTGCAGGGCTTCCCTGGTGCTGCAGTGGTTGAGAGTCCGTCCGCCTGCTGATGCAGGGGACACGGGTTCAGGCCCCGGTCCGGGAGGATCCCACAGGCCGCGGAGCAGCTGGGCCCATGAGCCATGGCCGCTGAGCCTGCCCGTCCGGAGCCTGTGCTCCACAACGGGAGAGGCCACAACAGTGAGAGGCCCACGTACCGCAAAAGAAAAAAAAGAATCCGCCTGCCAATGCAAGGAACACGGGTTCGAGCCCTGGTCCGGGAAGATCCCACATGCCGCGGAGGAACTAAGCCCGTGCGTCACAACTGCTGAGCCCACGTGCCACAACTCCTGAAGCCTGCTCACCGAGAGCCCGTGCTCCGCAACAAGAGAAGCCACGGCAATGAGAAGCCCGCGCTGAAGAGTAGCCCCCGCTGGCTGCAACCAGAGAAAGCCCACGTGCAGCAACAAAGACCCAATGCAGCCAAAAAAATAATAAATGAATGAATGAATGAGTGAATGAATGAATGAGTAAATAATTTTTTTAAAAGACAGAAATACTTGGAATTTAATTTCTGTATAAGTAAGAGGCATATATTTTTTTTCCTTTAAGAAGATGGTAAATGGAGGAGCAGGTTAAAATGACGTCTCCACTGCTCTACTTAACCCCACTGCCACATGTTGGGGGTGGAGTGGATAGTAGTTAAGTTCACCTTAATGTGAAAACTTGGTAAGACTTCTAAACCATTCAGTAAATATGAGATAAATTATGAAAATATGCTGTATATATACAAACACTTACCTTCTCAAACTGGTAATAAGGTCTGCAAAGGACTTTTCCCAGCCATACATTTTTATTATTCTGATGCCAGTTATCACTTCATTCATGGTCCTGATCCTGGTGTCTGTGAAAGCTGCAGTCTTACTCCTAAGGGACAGACGTGAGAGATGAGCCTTAGTGACCACAGCCCAACTTTCCTTAACAGCAGCAACAGTGGCACAGCCAGAGACCAGGGATCAAATGATTCCCTACAGCTCTTTTGCGCAGACAGGCAGGTCCTACTCAAAGTAGAAATGGAGAAGACTTCAATTAGGAAGCCAACCATTCAGCCCAATTCAAGAAGTAACTTGGAGAACTTGCAGTATCCACTAATGAAGACCCAGAATTAATCAGGTACAAACCATCTGCCCAAGGATGTCACGGTCAGGTAGGGGAGGCAGAAAGACACCCGACTCTAACAGGAAGACAGTGGCTGTGCTGTAATAAAATAGGAGTAAAGTGCTGGGGAGCAGAAAAGATGGGGCTGTTAATTCCACTGGGAAAGGAGAACAAGACAGCCTTCAGAGACCCGGTAGCATCGGAACAGGGCCTCAAAGGATAAGGAACATCTCTCCATAGCAAAAAGAGGAAACGAAATTCCAAGTAGAGAAAAAAACAAAAAACAAAACAAAAAAAAAAACACACGAGGCTTCCCTGGTGGCGCAGTGGTTGGGAGTCCGCCTGCCGATGCAGGGGACACGGGTTCGTGCCCCGGTCCGGGAGGATCCCACATGCCGCGGAGTGGCTGGGCCCGTGAGCCATGGCCGCTGAGCCTGCGCGTCCGGAGGCTGTGCTCCTCAACGGCAGAGGCCACAACAGTGAGAGTCCCGTGTACCGCAAAAAAAAAAAAAAAAAACACACGGACACACACACAAGAACTCAATGAGCTTCAAACAGCACAACATCTCCATCCCCTGACAACCTGCACAATGACCCACCTCCAACCCTCTGGGACCTGCTTCAAGTCTAACTAATCAGCATGAGGCTCTCCATCACCAGCCACTTTTCTATCACATAGGCTGCTGGGAATGTGGGGCTTTAAAAAGACATACGTAGTAAGATCAATCTTGCCCTTGGGCTTAATGGAAACATTGAATTAAAAACAAGATGCAAACATATACACACCTGAAAATGGCTCTAACAAAACAAGCATAACAAAAATAGATGCATATGGAATTGAGCCCGTAAGATCATTACAATTTAATAATGCTTAAATAACACTATCCAATGTACATTCCGCTTAAGGACACTCTACTTGTTCAGGTACGGTGCCGGGAGGAGAGAGCGAATGCTGTCACCTTTCCCGTTTCAGGATCAAACTTCAGCTTAAGGCTGGAGCATCTACTGGCTAAGCCTAAAGGGTCTACAACACATGCAAAGAGACCAAAGAAGGCATTTTTGTTTTGTTTTTGAACAAAAGCATCAAGCAGATGGTGGATGTTACCAGTTGCATATTAACACTTTTTTACACCAGTGTTTCTCTTACCGGAGTGATGAAAACAACTTCCCAATGCAGCTTTGCAAAGGCAGAAGAATAATTAGAACCGCCATCCCAGCAAGACATGATATTCCTATTTCCATCCAGAGCAGGATGGTCACTATGATAGCCTGCAGTGGCCCTGCCCACAGAAAGTGCAAGAATATCGTTACCTTAAAAGAAGAAAAACAAAGTCTTCTTAGGAATGTATAAAAACCAGACCAGTGAGGACACAATTTAGAAACAATCTTCTGTCAAAGAACAGACAGGAACCTAAACAGAAATGATCACAGTGGGTTTTAAACCTGCTAAAGCAGAAATCAAGTATCCACCCCAGGTGATGCTGTTCTGGGACAGCATGGGGCAAGGCTCAGGGACGTCCAGGGAGAAGAGGACCGGCAGTGCCCGGAAGATTTCAGTTTTGTCCATCCCACAAATGAGCTCAGGGCTTCCTCACAGTCCGCCCCAGAATTCAGCCCCTGTCAAGAAGGGCCACTCCAGGAGCACCCTTAGAGACGCTAACCACGCTGGGCAAGAACACTGCTGCCTATTTATTATTAGAAAAATTAAATTCTCATCTAAAGGACAATACACACTGTTACATCTAATAGGCACACAGAAGAAATGAGAGTTGAATAAAGAGAACTCTTTGTCTTATGTCTTCAAAAGAATCCTGGCCACCTGGCATCCCAAAAAGCTAAACACAGTAAGGACAGGAAATGGAAAAGGATCCCCCAGGGGCAGCTTACCTGATCAAACCTGTTCACATCGTTGGACAGCAGGTTGACTATCTGGCCTGTGGTGGTCTTCCCCATGGCCAAGTTACTCAGGCAAAGTGCCTGAAACAAGAGAGGGTAACAGAGAATTGGATCCCTGCGGTGATACCAAGTCACTCTTAGAACATAACAAAACAGAGCACGTTTTCATGGGGTCTTGAGTGGTGTCAGGACAAGCAGCATGACCCCTGACAGCAGGGCTCTAGGAACCCATGTTTACCCTTTGGCTCCTCAATGTGGCGACAGCCATGCCCACAAGGACAGCAAACAGGGGCCGACGCAAAATCTCCCACCTTTTTTTTTGATGAATCTGGACATGCCCCAAATATAAAGGGATGTAGGTTCATACTTAGAAGCCAACTAAAGTAATTTTAGGCCATATTAGATGAAAGCAGGGAAGCTGCCTGCAAATCAATCGTTAATTTTGTGTGTGACATCATTTCAACACTGTATTCTAAGTTTCCTCATTCTTTGAACGGAAATAACTCTTCACCGTGCATAAGATCATAGGGTACGTATGACAAATGAATGGCAGATTTGTTATCTACTATGTGGAGGAAACCAGGTGCTCCTGGAGATATATTTACTGATAGTCATGTCTTCTCATCTTTGGAGATGGGACAAGATATATGCCAACACCTGTAATTCAGGTGTGAAGTGAACACTAAACACAGTGCCACAGGGAACTGGGGAAGGTTTCTACCAAGTGACACTGTGGTGAGGGAGGAGCTTGGACAACGAAAAGGATAAACTGTATGGAGAGAAGGGAAGGGCAATGTGGGTGAGAGGAACCCATGCAGAGACTCCAGGGAGGGAAAATGCAAAATCTGGCTAGAAAGGTGGTCTGGGAAATAGCTAAGGAGTTTGGAAGGCAACATGGAACGGTCAATGTTTTTTCACATTAGAGAAACTCAACTTTAGGAAAATTAAACTGAAGAAGTGACTGCCCAGGAGATTTTTGGAAGAAAGGAGAATTAGGGGTCAGTGAAACAGTCAAGAGGTAACCAGACTGCGCAGTAGAGATGTGTGAATGGTAGCAAAGGGCCACTGAAAACACTCTTAAAGGTGAAAAATGCTTTGCAAATATGAGCGAGGGAGGGAGGGAGGGAGGTGCCACTACAGGAAAGAAAGAAACCATACTGTGCCTTAACTTCTGAAAGCTCTCTTGAAAATAGGTTTAAAGCCTGCTTTACATACAAATACATGTTAATCCCTCATGAAGAAAATACTTATTTTAAAGAAGTAGCTAGTTTATCCCTAACTTGAACAACTAAAAGAAGGCAGAATGGTGTACCAAACTCTGAGTTTAAACTGATCATCAAAAAAAATCAAGACAACTGCACCTAATTGGAATTGATGGACCCAAAGGCTGGTTCTGGAACAAAAGTTAACATGAATCAACTATAACACTGCAGCCAGGGACTTCCCTCGTGGCGCTGCAGTAAGGAATCCACCTGCCAGTGCAGGGATGAGGGTTCAAGGCCTGGCCCGGAAAGATCCCACAGGCCGCGGAGCAACTAAGCCCGTGCACCAGAACTACTGAGCCTACGCTCTAGAGCCCGCGAGCCACAACTACTGAGCCTGTGCACCACAACTACTGAAGTCCGCGCACCTACAGCCTGTGATCCACAATAAGAGAAGCCACCACAATGAGAAGCCTGCGAACCGCAACAAAGAGTAGCCCCTGCTTGCCGCAACTAGAGAAAGCCTGCGCGCAGCAACGAAAACCCAACACAGCCAAAAATAAATTAATTGATTAATTAATTAATTTAAAAACAAAAAACAAGTCCTTTCTCTGCTCTGGTTCCCCTGAGTGGTGAGCTTCAGGCTGAAAGACATTTAGGAATTGCTGTCCCTAAAGGAGAACAGTCACCACGCTCATGGCAGGGATTTTGCGCTCAATAGTTCAGAGGCCCCCAGGCAGACTACAAATGGTGACAAAAGGTGTGGAGCCCCTTGTTTGTACAGACTGGATTCGTCACAAACTTGCGAAGTCAAGAATTCCAGATAAAGTCTTCCAGCCTTCACCTGAAGATCATGAAAAATATGGTGGGGATCCACAGCAACCTCATAAACTGCATATTGTTGCCAGAATAAAAAGTACAAAAAGACATCCACATTGGGAGAAAGATATAATAAAGATGCTTGGGTTACAAAAAGCACATACCCCTCAAGTTCACAAGAATGCCCCTTCAGTGAATGCAGAACTGAAAGTGGTTAAACATTTGGTAAGAATCAAGCCCCTGAAGCTGCCACAAGGTCTCCCAACAGAGGAAAACATGTCCAGCACGTGTCTCAGGAGCACTGCAGAGCTGGTGGTGGGGTGGCTTCAGAGCCCCACGGACCAGGAAGTGAGTAAGTCCTGATGGCCTCGCAGCTCCAGAGTAAAAAGTGCAAGTCACTTCTATTTAAAGATGGTGAGAAAGTGTTCTCATTAAAATACGGGTTTTTTTGGTTTTTTTTTTTTGCGGTATGCGGGCCTCTCACTGCTGTGGCCTCTCCCGTTGCGGAGCACAGGCTCCGGACGTGCAGGCTCAGCGGCCATGGCTCACGGGCCCAGCCGCTCCGCGGCATGTGGGATCTTCCCGGGCCGGGGCACGAACCCGTGCCCCCTGCAACGGCAGGCGGACTCTCAACCACTGCGCCACCAGGGAAGCCCTAAAATATGTTTTAAATTCTAAAAACAAACAAAAAAGCAAAAGCAAAAACAAAACACTGCAGCCAACAGAGAAATCAAGGATCTGTCAAAAGAAAATCAGTCATATTCCACACAGGATAAAAAACAGAACATGAAGTGACAGTAATATTATTAATGAGGAGACAGAGCTTACAAGTCAACTGCCAGATTTCTGTTTCCAACCATGAAAGAATAATTGGTACTGGACTCGCCCGCCATTGTAAAACTGCAAAGGTGGACAAAATATATGAAAAGCAGCTGTTTTCAGGCACTGAATGACAAGCAGGGCTAAACTGTAAGCCTAGAGAAGAGGAGAGCCTGGGACTGGCCTGTCTTTCTGCCTGGGGGTATCTTCTGCCCAAGCAGAACTACAGTTTCACTGAACTGAAGAGGGAGTTGCAGAAACGGCTGGAATTTGGGAGGAATAGCAGAGGGTAGACCCAGAATATCTTGTGGGGATTTACCAAAGGGACTTTGCCAGAACTTCACTGTCCGTGAGCAGGGTCAGACTCCATGAAGCCTCTGTGAGGTCACGCCAATGCCAGGAGACTAGAGTTTCTGCCTACCTAGAAGAAAGAGTTCTTCTTAAGCGCCTCAGACATTCACTTAGCTGCCAGGAAGGCCATGCCTTACGCTGTAGAGTAGAGCCATGCACTTGGACTAAGTTCAAAATGAAAATAATTGCCCCAGATAGACAGACAAGACAAACAGAAAGATAGAAAGAATGAATAAGCCAATCCTAACAAGACCAATCTACCAGGAATTCCCTATCAGAACAAATACCCTTTAATCCAGACTTCCTATAATGTATACTTCATAACACCCAACATAATAAGACAATTATTAGACCTGCAAAGAAGCAAGAACATTTGACCCATAATCAAGAGGGAAAAAAAATACAAGCATTAGAAATAGACCCTGAGATGATCCAGATTTTGGAATTAGCAGACAAGAACTATAAAACAACTATTATAAATACGTTCAAGGAACTAAAGGAAAATATGGTTATAACAAGTGAATGGATAGGTAATTTTTTTTTTGTTTTTGGCCTCGCCACACAGCTTGTGGGATCTTAGTTCCCCAACCAGGGATCGAACCCAGGCCCCCAGCAGTGGAAGCACAGAGTCTTAACCACTGGATCACCAGGGAATTCTCTGGATAGGTAATTTCAGAAGAGAGATGGACACTATCAAAAAGAAGCAAACAGAAATTCCAGAACTAAAAAGTACAATATGAAAAATTCACTAGATAACTTTAATATCAGATAATTTCCATTGCTCTGTGCCCAGATTCATTAAGCCTTTCTTTAAGTTTACAACCTGAAGAACAAACAGAAAACAGAGAACGAGAGCAAGATTGGTTGAAGAAAAGAAAGCCTAAGGGTTCAATGGGACCATACAAGCAATGAAACACACATGTAATTGGAGTCCTGGGAGAAGATGACAAAATAGGGAAGAAAAAAATATTTGAGGGAATAATGGCTGAAATTTTTCCAAGTTTGGTAGAAAATATTAATTTAGATACCTAAGAATCTTAGCAAACCCCAGAAAGGATCAAAACAAAGAGACCTATGCTTGGGCACATCACAGTCAAAATGCTGAAAACCAGAGAGTAACAGTGTTGAAAGCAGCCCACGAAAAACAACGCATTACATACAGAAGAAAAATAATGCAACTAATAGCTGACTTAACAAACTCAGTTCTGTCACTATGTGTGGTGATGGGTGTTAACCAGGCTTACTGTGGTCATTTCTGTACACACACGCACGTAGACACATACATACTATACACTCTATATATATACACACACACACACAAAAATACTGAATCATTTTGCTGAATATCTGAAACTAATATGCTGTATATCGATTATACCTCAGTTTAAAAGGAGGAGGAGATAGTGGAACAAAATGTATAGAGTGCTGAAAGAAAAGAATAACTGTCAACCCCAAATTCTATAACCAACAAAAGTAAATATCCTTCAAATGATGAGGGTGAAATTGAGACATTTTCAGACAAAGTCTCAGAGACTTTCTCACCACCCAACCTGACCTTTAAGAAATTATAACGGATATTCTTCAAGCTAAAGGGAAATGGTACCAGATGGAAATTCAGTTGTAGAAAAATAGAGAAACCAAAATGACAAACAAAAATACAGGTAAATATAAGAGATTGCGTTACTCCTTTCCATTTCTTTGCGAAACAAACGGCTGCTTAAAAGCAAAATAATGGTAACACCGTACTTTGTACGTTGATGTAAAATAGATAACAACAGTACAAGGGATAGGATGTCACTCCTATACGTTTCTTACATTTTATGTAAAGTAATCCAATACTAACATGCAGAAAGAGACTGTAATAAGATGCCTATTTTAATCACTAAAGCA